AAAGAGACTATTCACGTGGATCTTACAACCACCCTTTTCTGTGTCATTGTTTATTTCCAAGGGCATTACCTGACAGAGTACCAACGCCAATCACCAGGCTCATGACCAATGCATCCAGGGAGATGTTGGGACCAAGGACTGCCATACCTTGGGCTATGTTCTCAGGTACATCTCTCTGTATGGAAAAAACAAGTAATCATTGGTCTGTGGAAAATAAAAAGATTTCAAAATTCACGTCAACCTAAGGTTATTTCTTACACAAGAACTTTTTCGAACAATGTGAATTCAAAGCTAATCAGGAATAGCCGAAGGGATGACTTCTGTCATTCTTTGGCAAGATGGTCAATAACATGGTTTCCAGGAAAACTCCCAGCGAGTATCTGGCGCGGAACACGGGGTGCCACTCACCTGGGAATCACTGCTCAGTGCAAATTTGGTCAAGGCACTGGCTTTGGACAGGTCGATCAGAAGAAGGAAAAAAGGCAGTGCCTCACTGTGAAAAGGAAAAAGCATGCACACCCAACAGATGAACGACTTGCAATGCATAAGACTAAACACGATAAATGTTGAATTAACTTTTTCCCATCTCCATTTTATTCTTTTTTTGGTCTTAATTTCAAATTTGAAACTCCAATGCTGCTCATTCATAACCCACAGCACATTCTTTGTGCCTAAGTCTAACACACCAGCATCTACACAGGATAACAGTGGCTGTGCTACACCTGTCTGGAATGCTTAAAATAAAGCAGTCCCCGGGCTGTGTTCCACATGAACATCCCGCCAACAATCACAGTCTTTTGGGGCACGTCAAATGGAAAATAGTTTGCAGTCATGAACAATGGTTGCATACGTGAGCAAACCCCCCAGGTTGCAGATCCTGGCAAGTCTAGGAAAACACAGGCTCAAGGCAAGATTATGGGAGCTATGAAAGGCTTTGTAACAGCAGGTAGAGTCCAGGTTCATTTTATTTATCACTGACATATTTCAGGGCCATGGAACCCTGCAATATAAAAACTTACTTGAGGCCTGTAAGCTCCAGGCCAAAAAGATGAATAACGGCACTGCTGAATACAAAACTGGAGAATATGGTGAACAGCCCAGCAATGCCTACAGGGAACAACAAAGATTTTGAGACCATCAATATCTAATGATGCTGGTAACACCCCTTGGCAAAACAACTTTCTGACCTCGACCAAACCCATGGGCGTATCCACAGATTAAAAAAATCAAAGCAGCATTTGTGGGAGAGCACATTTTACTCATTTTGAGTAAAAAAAGGTTCTGCATCTTGTTCCAACTGTCTCTCATTTAATCATCTTCAATCGCATCTATAATTCCCATTTTGGTAGCACTGTATTAGAATCTTCAACAATTCTGTGACAATCGAGGCTTGAAGGCGTTATCTCACAACCGTTATCTGTGATGTAACGCAAAGCCGACACAAAATAAATGCGGCTGACAATAGTGCCCAAGTACCTTGAAAATCAACAAGACTATCAAGCACAACAATACCGCGACCAAAAGTAGCTTTTTGTCCCAGTTTTCCACACAGATAACGGACAAAAAAGGAACCAGTATTTAGTTGGCCCTTTTCTTTGTCAGCTTGCAAACCCATCGATTTATCTCTCATACCCAAAGTTCAAGGATAAAAGACAATGGGCGGAGTGAATATTTAGCATCAGGTTACTACAAATAGCAAAAAATGCTCCATTTTAGGAAAACAAACATTGGAAGAGACACCTTAATAGTGGGTGCGTATAAAGAACAAAGTAAACAGTTGATATGCGGCAATGATATGCTAAATTATCAATACTGACAAGTGCAATATCAGAAGAGCAGGACAAAAGTCCTTTGATAATAAGTGTACGGTAAGTTGCGTACCGAGAATGTATTTGGAACCAACTTTTCGGAGTTTGTGGAACTGCATATAGATATAGAAGACGGACATGGCGTTGGCCAGAGTGACGATGATAACATCAGAGGACATGACATCCTGAGGGCAAAGAAAAGATCTCAAAACAGTTACAATTACAGTGAGTATTGGCCTTCACAGGCAAGGGCAAAATCTCTGTCAAATCGTTGAAGCTTTCTTTAGAACCTTGAAGGCTATCCGATAGTCACAAAAGATAATCAATTTCAATTTGGTTTTCCCCATATTTCAGCACACTACCAGTTAAACTTTCGTGATACAGACTAGTTTTCAGATCACCATCATCTCATACTAGAAGCTTGACTACTTAACGAGGACCAAGTTCTTGAGCCACGGCAGCATCTTGACTTGAGAGGTGTCACCCTTTTTTCCCCATACATTCTACTTCATAAACTTACAATGTACAGGTACTTTAAAGTTTAACAACAGGCATTGTTGGATTAACATGTACCTGTGTCTCAGTGCAGTGATAGTTCCATCCGCACACTTTGGGCAGGCTGGTGAAATAGTCCATGGACAGCATGCATATGGTGAGAGTCAGGGTGCCCACGATGACCTCCCAAGGGTGGGCGGAGCAGTAGCGCCCGTGGGCACGGAAGACGTTGGACAGCATCTCTCTTATGCTCCTGAGGGCAGATGGAAGCGACACACAAATCCCGTTCAGTAAGCCCAAGTTTGGTGTTTTGTGGTGGCACAGAATCTGGGCTCACTTGCAGTGCGGAGCCAAAACACAGCACGTTAAGACGTCTCCCACATCTTGATATCAATGCAAATCATTTTTGTTCGAAAAAAAAACATCCTTTCCATCCATTACCCCCCCTCAGCCATTTCAGATTCTCAGGTACATGTATAATGTTAAAGAAAAGGTGAATATGACCAAAAGTCTTTACATATCGATTAACACAAAGCAGAAAGACTTTTTGAGATTCCCATTAGCATGGGGAACTTACATGTACTTTAACAACAGTTCAATTCAGAGACACATTCTGCTGTCAAAGTACTCAGTAAAAGTTAATGAAGCCTGGAATACTAATATTTACATATCGATTTTACTTTAGAATATGAAACAGTTGTGGGGGCACGACACACAAGAAGCATGTCCACAAGGGGAAAAGGTCCGGTCAAATATGGCCTACAGAGACTGACTTTTACACAGAGCGCAGACAATTTGCTCCACATTTGCTGGTGGTCTTTTTGCACATGAAATTGTTCCTCTCCTGCAGAAGTGAGAGGACCAGCATACCTGCACAAGTACACGTACGCCAAACCCATAAAACAAATGTTTCCGGATTGGAAAGCAGGGATGAGGGTATCCTAAATAGACATTCTCGGGGGAAAACTACCACCAATCACAGTAGTTACAGTAAGAACTTAGTCACACAGCCCCTTTCTCATCACAAACAGTGACACCTCAGCACAAGAGAAAGCATCTCAAACATGAACTTGACCCTTGCCCTTCGGGACTTATCTGAAACCTACCGCTACCAGGAGGTTTGTGAGGATTCTAAAAGACTGGAGAAAGCACCACTGGGTCAAGATATGCCATCAATTTACAGTGTGCTAGAAGATTTCAAATACAGAGGATTACAGAAAACTATGTTCGTTGTAAAAATAAAAAATAAGCCCCAAAAAGTGAAGGACTTGGACCTCAATAGATTCTTCCAAATTATCTGCACTTTTTTCTTTGTGGGTGGAGTGGAGGTATACCTTTTGCAGACTAAAAAACAACAATAACGAACAAACCAAAACCAGCTGTTTCCAATCACCTATTCCATCCTATTACACACATTTATTTAGAAGTGATTCCTTTTGATGGGAATAATGATGACTACTGCTACCAACCCACATATTGCTCCATTCCTTTTCAATTGTATTTGCAACGGTTCAAGATTTTTATTGTCCACAAGCTAAGCTGAGTAGCTGCAAAAGGAAACGATGAAATCCTTCATTAAATAAAAATGTTCAACGTGTATTCTGGTCAGATGACATGGTCCACGTCAAAAACTGTGCAATGCAAGGGATAATAACTATTAACTAATGATCATTCTATCCTTATTTAGTGAGGAAAGAACATCTACCTATCATAACGCAACAAGAATCGCTTGAGGGCGAGAAAAAAAAACAGCATATAAGTTCCTTGTTAAACCTTAAAATCCTCTACAGAGGAGTGGTCAGTAAAAAAACACCCATCCTCACACCTGAGGTACTGGTAGTTTTTGAGGAATTTTCCTCCAAAGTTGATAATTGATAGAAACGTTACTTTTACTCCCAACTTTCATGAGACGAAATTTAAAATTGATGGGCTGGACTGTATCTTTGTCCACACTGCAAAATTCTCCAGAAACTCCTGGTAGCTTTTAGATGGATACACAAGCAACAGGGATGTTTGCATTTACACTTAAATTTGAAGAGACTTTTTTTCTACACAATAAAAAGAGGGAAGTAAAAGCTAATCAATTCAAAAATGTAATTCAAGTAAAGCACAAAGGTTGTACTTAAATGGAAAAGTGCCACTTGAAAATAAGCACTGGTAGACTGGCAGCTGAAAAATGCTACATGGATTCTGAACGATCACTGCAGTGACACTTCCCACAATGTATGATACAGAAGCATGCAAATTCCTGTAATTAATAGTACAAGTTTTCCTACATGTAGGGGAACAACTCACTGCTTCAGTTCAAACTACTGAATGACAAAGCCAACAGAAAGCCCATTTTACTCGGTTCTTGAACTTCACTGTGAAAACATATCCTTCGAAACCAATAATCACCGGCCCAACTTTTTTCACGTGTAGTGATAGAGACCAGCAAGACACAAGAAAGAAAACATCTGTATATTTATTCAATGTGGGAGAAAGCAGGGGTAGAGTACGATTCAAAAGGTGCTCCTTTTTAGAAAAGTCAAAGCAAGCTCAAACCATGAACTACCGGTATCAACAACTCCAGGCAATTACCGGCTGCAATTTTTGAACCTTTCTTCCTCAAGTTATTGTTAACACAGTCAACATGATCCCCCATCCATTCATACAGCCATGTATACAATTCTATGATGAATAGAGATTATTGTGAGAATGACCGTAGCCTCAAAAGGGGAAACATTTTCAAGCAAGCTGGTGGAAAAAGTGCACATGGTGACTAGAAGCCGGAACTAATGGGAAAGCAAAACATACAGATGTGCAGTTAGTACACAGTGTCTTTTTGTTTGTGACTGAAAATAGTTTCCACCAAGATGTTTGATGTCAGACACCACAAATTGATGAGCTTTCCATTTTGGAGTTAAATAACATCATGTAAATGTGGAAATCTCAACATGAATGTTTGCTGCCATCCTTTCAGGATCAATGGAATATGAACAAGAAAGGTTGGTTCTGACTTTTGAATAAGTATTCACAACGGAACTATTTGAGGTTAAAGGTTCATTTGGTGTTTTTCTAAATCATATACCAAGAAAGCGAAGAAAAACTGATATAAATGGGAAAAGTTTCAAAAACTGCTCTTGCAAAATCCATCAATGTTTCAAGTCACATCAGAGACACGGTGGTGAATAAGTGTACAGGTAAGAAATTTCACAGTTCTAAGCAACAAATTGAGATTGTAACAAAATATTCATATCCCCACTATACTATCATCATTGAAATAATTACACATTTTTAATCACAAAATAAACCTCTGCAAAACAAAAAGGCAGCAGGAAGTTAAACCACCACAAATACAAGTTCCCCAACAGTTTCAAATTTTGCCAATACACCTAAACCCTTTTTTTCAAGATGTATTTTGCGTTGGGGAGATGTTAATTTACATAACGGGTTTTGCCCTTACCAACGTAAGGTTTGCAAGCTCTCGGACAAGCACGGAGCATACAGTGTTTATCAATATATACGTTGGGTAAGGGCAAAACCCGTTATATAAATTAACACCTCAACCCCTTAGAAGGTATGAAAAAAATGCACTGAAATTCAAGCATTCAGAACAATTGGCATTAGATGTTGGACTTACCTGACTTGGTCAATATTGCCAATCATTTTGACTTGCTTTTTGTAGAGAGTTTCAATTTCTAGTGCCCACTTAAACATCTTCTTGCCAACCAGATTTGATCGTTGTGTTAAAATCCAACCAAGTCTCTGGCCAATTTCCTCTTCCATCAGGTATATAGGGCATGTGGGTGGTTAGATAGTAAAGGCCAGATTGACAAATCAAGCAGTTATACATTCATAATCAGGGTTCATCCAAACGAAGGGGTGGCTGGTATGCCAGGAACCATGGGTATGAAGAAAGCAAACCCTTAACTGACTGAGTGAATTGAAACAGGCCAGTGATAAATCACGAGTCACAAAAGGTCCACATGAAACCCACCTGCCATAAATGGAACAACCCATGTGAGACGATCCAATCTGTGGTGAGATTGGTTGGAAGTTCTCATCCTATGCAAATCGGAGTGTGATCATGCACTGGGTGCATGGCCAAACTCTTGCTGGTACACGTGTACCACAGCTGGTACCAAATGCATGCATGGGCTTGTGCAAGTCAAACTCCTAGATGTACGTCTTACCAGTATGTCAAAATCCAAAGTTTGGAATCAATACCTGTATATCTATTACCACACAAATGCAGATCTCTTTGCCAACTTTCAAACTCTTGGTATTCGTATGGTATCCATGTGCGGAAAGTGAACTATGCCTTTCATGTTGATGTTCTAAAGAATTAGAACACAACAGTTTCATATATTCCGGTGGCTCTAGAAACAACATGTACGTGTACAGGAATATGGATATTGAAATAACTTCCTTTTTTACTCAAAGGCAAATACCAAGATTGTTTAGTGTGCATACCGGTATCTTTGTTGTCTTGAATTTGTATGTACAGTGTACATGTATGTCTTGAATATTTGAGCTCAAACAAAGCAACGACTTGCAAGTTATTCCCTGGTGCCTCACGAACCACGCTGTTACGTTACACTCCATGCTGCCCCAGATAGCCCTGCCTGTTTCTCCTGCGACTGCCTAAACTAGCCTGTACTGCCCCAGCACTGTATGGTTAGACATGGATTCATCAGGGACAACAGGTGCTGATGGGTTGCACTGGAAATCTTGAACAGCACGGAAAATATTATTTAGATACTGCACAAAGCCACTATATGTAACTATAGAGCTGACCATTTAGCCATGCTTTGTATTGAACTTAGTTGAAGTAAATCTCACCAAGACAATGGTTACTTTTCTGGGTAGGTGAACCCGTGTCAGCTGGTGGTGAGACTAATTGGCCAGGGTAGATTTTTACCAAGTGCTGTATCAACTATCATAGAAATTGCACCAAGATATGCCCAGTGTAATGGCAGCTGTTGGGTACAGTCCACTGATTCAAGCCCCATTGAAAACAGTGTAAAATCACCACTGTTCAGGGCCCAATAACATGCATACTAACATCCCTGAGATTTCTATAACACAAATGAAATTCTTGTCTGGTCACTAATCTTTTAATTTCTTTTCAATTTTTTGTGGGTTAACTAATTAATTTTAATTATTCCCACAAAACAAAA